TGTCCAATCCGTCTGATTTACTTCCGCGGCTATCTGTGAGTAATAACTTAGTAAAGTTATGTTCAACTGTATTTATTTTCTGTGTGATAAAATGAGGTTTATTTTCTAAAGTGCTAAGTTCTGTACAATGAATGATTGTCCAATTTCTGATATGTACTCGTGACATCCTTAGCATCATGTGATATCTGTTGGCTGTTACCCGGTATCGAAGGTTCCTTTATGGAACTTAATCTGTTAGCACTCTGTTACTCGTACCAGAGGCCCCGTCATGGGGGCTCAGCTTACGTTCTGTTACCCGGATCCGAAGGTTCCTTTATGGAACTGGTTATTCGTAACCTCACGTGTATATGTTCTGTTCTGTTCTGTTCTGTTAATGCTAATGGATGTATCACGTATGCTTAAGCATGACTTATGATTTCCGTATATGATCTGGACAAATTATGAATTTGATACGAGACCGAATTATGATTTCTGAATCTGTACAGACTCATTCATTAAAACCCTTTACTCTGTTATTATTCACTGGGCTCTAGCTCACTGCATTATTTATGTATGTAGGTGATCAGGCACGTGACCAGGCTTAGAGGCATCTGCCTAGAATCTGTTTTTGTCAGCCAGCCTATGTGCCTCCCGTGGAGGTTCCGAATATGTCGAGTGATTATCGCTATGTGATTTAAAGTTTAAGTTTTGTTTTCGTGTTTGGTTGAACAAGTCTTGTGTGTTTTGTAAATAGGGCTAAACCCCTTTTTGTCTAAATCTGTATATATATGATGACTTAAAGATAATGTGTATATATGTATATAAAAAGTTTAAAATTTTTCTATCTCATATAAGTCTGCACAGCTCAATGGACATTATATATTGTTATTGCTTCCGCTAGCCCCTAATATTTTGTTAATTTGTCTCAGAGGCCTTCGGTAATCCCAGGATTACTGGCCGGTTACGATGTTAAACCTATAGGGGCGGGTTTGGGTCGTGACAGAGTGGTATCAGAGCACGAATTAATATCTCACACACGTGTCCATTGAGCATTAGAATGTCTACAACGAATTTAAGTTTCATGCATCTAGTATGTAAGTAAGAAGTTTTACATTCAAGAATATGCATATACGTTTGTGTAATATGTTTAAGTATTGAAACTAAGAATTATGAGCTATTATGGAATTGTGATGATTATAAGGAAACTGGAATGTGTTGAATCAGTTTAGCAATGAGGCTGAAAGCTAAGAATTATGGTGACGTCCCTGAAATTTCTACTGTTATAAGGAAATCAGAATATCTGACTAGTACATTGGTGAGAATAAGTATGTTGATTTGTGGAAACATAGTGTTATGCAGAATTAGGTCCTTTAATGGAAATCATGAAAGCTATATGGGTTATATATTAAATTGGACTATGAGAATATTTGGAAATTAAAGAATTTGATGATCAATGAAATATGTGGAACTATGGTAATTGAAGACGAGAAAAGTCATTTGATATGTAAGATAGTACATTTTGGTGGGAACCTATTATGTGGAATGTTAAACCGTAGAGTCTCATGCCTTTGTAAAATGACCTTGACAGTCTGATTGGAATCACGTTTGGCCAGCGTTACTTCGAACCAGAAATTCTTGGTAAATTCCATGGGAATGAATAGGTTACCCTACTAGTGTCCTTATGTGCCTATATGTGTATGTCTACTTGTATATGATATGTGCTTTGTGTTATAATTTAAGTTAACTACATCAACCCAGTGTTATCAATCATCTTCTTGTGTTTAACCCTTCTCTTTCGTCATTAGGAGAAGATGGTGAAAAAGTATGAATGGAGTGGAAATTGAGTCTTTATCAGAGTGATTAGGTAAAGTAGAAGAAGTACTAGAGGACGTGGTGAAAGCTGTGAATCCTATCATACATGGCAAGATCGAAAGGAAAGGTTAAGTGTGGAGGTAAAAAGTAAATCAAAGAAGAAAACTAAGAATTTTGTGGTAAGAAACACAAGTAATTCTAGGCAAGGTTGTAAGAGAAGTAAGTTATTCTAGTATGTCAATATGTCACAAGATTCATCGGGGACTGTGTCATCGAATTACTGGGAATGTGAGAAGTTGGGCATCACATAAGAGACTATCCCAAATCTAAGAGAGAGCTCAAATAATTTAATTGGTTAAGGATAGTACTTAAGTACAAGTAGGACTGCTTGAAGTTAATAGTTTATGTGTGAGTGGTTTTTTTTTATTTTTTTATAAAGCTATGTTGTAATGTTTTGATAAAACTTTGCTTTGCTTTGTTTTGGAAAAGTATTTGATCAAGCATGAATGATGATCCATTAGTCCTGTATCAAGTATTAGCTTTCTTTTGATGACATTCTTGAAAGGTCCTTTCGTGCTAGGGGACGTTAAGTTTATGTAGCACCTTTGTTGAGATATCTCTTTGCCATCGACGGTCATGTACGAATGGTATCACCGACGGTCTTGTACGGGCTGATTACGTTTGTCACCGACGGTTTTCCGGGTGAATTGTCTAACCGACTTCGAGTCGGCCACCGACGGTCATGAACGGGTGTGCTTCGATTCCAGGGCGGTTATTCCTTTGTTTTGTCAGGAATGTCATCTTTGTATTAGGTAGATGTTAGTAAACATCCCAAGAAGCTTTGAAAGATTTCGATTGATGACCTCAATTCATCCCATGTTTCGTTACAAACTATGTTATGTATTATTTGATAAAGATGGAACCCATTCACTGGACTATTTAGAACTCAACCTGAAAATGCATAGAAATGATTAAAACATCGCTAAGACTTGAGCTAAATAAAAGACTATATCCGACGGTCATGAACGGGTGTGCTTCGATTCCAGGACGATTATTCCTTTGTTTTGTCAGGAATGTCATCTTTGTATTAGGTAGATGTTAGTAAACATCCCAAGAAGCTTTGAAAGATTTCAATTGATGACCTCGATTCATCCCATGTTTCGTTACAAACTATGTTATGTATTATTTGATAAAGATGGAACCCATTCACTGGACTATTTAGAACTCAACCTGAAAATGCATAGAAATGATTAAAACATCGCTAAGACTTGAGCTAAATAAAAGACTATATGATTTAAGCCAACGGAAATTTTTCTACTTGGTGACCGAATAAGTAACACTTAATTTACTGGAATTATATTGTTTGGAACCTTTAAAAACATTGAAAGTGACTGATTATGATATGTTGAATTACGAATCTAGAAGAATTATTTCCCCCTCAAAAAAAGAAAAGAAAAGAAAGAGACGTAATGGGAAATAAGAGAATAAATTTCGTTGGAATGACAAACATATATTTCTTAAAGAACGTTTGGGAACATAAGAATTTCGGTCTGCTAATTGTTATGGTTTGAGAAAGCTTAAAATTTAGCTCTAAGATACCATGTGTCAAGTTAACAAAAGCAATACATATATATGTATGTACAGGTCTAATATTTAGAATAAGTATGAAGACAATGTAACCTTAAGTAATAAGGAAGCTAATGACTGCGCAAAACGTAGACCTGTTGTGAATCGAATCACCACTTTGAAATGATAGTGTGAGTTAGATTGTCAAAACGGTAATTTTAATTTCACAGAAGTATATAAAGTTCTGCTCTGATCTGTATGACTATCTGCTTCTATATGAGAGCAAGCCAACATCTGTTACTCAATAGGCTTAATGAATTTCTGTGGAATATGCTTCTGTTTGAAATCCAATGTGCTCCTCTGTTTTGAAATTACCATCATAATTGATACCCAAGATGTTTGTTTGAAGCTAAGACCATTAATATGTGATTACAATTCTATATAATTCAGAAATTTCTGTTATAAATCAGCAAGTGAAACCTTATTTGAAGGAGTTAACATGTCAATAGCGAAATATTTTAATTTGTTTGAAAAATAAGGAGAATCATGAACATTCCTTAAAAGAAGTCTCCTACTATTGGAAGTGTATGAACGATAGATTGATGAGTTAAAGCATATAAGTTATGTGATTGATGCCAATAGAAACAATAATGAATCGCTAATTTGGGTTATTAACCACTAAGTGATTGGGAATAAGTTCAACTTGTGTAGAGAAAGTTCAATGAAAAGAAGTTACCTTGGGGAGGAAATGAAGTGAGACCAAGTTATATGATTGATTTTCTGTACAAATATCTTAAGTTTGGAGGACCAAACTTCCTAAGGGGGGAAGGCTGTAACGACCCTATCACGTATAATGATTAGTACTTGATTAATTAAAAGGGTTTCAAATTTAATTGCCGAGTATTATAATTTAATTTGGGATTTGTGAGAATTGTGGAATCTGACTCGTATATGATTCTATTAAAGATTTATTTTGGAATTAGAAATTAAGGATCCAAATGGTTTAAAGAAGTGAAATTAAGAAGTTGAGTCAATTTAATTTTAATTACGGACCCATTTGGGAGTTTAATTAAATATTCGATTCAGTTTAGTAAAATTGAGATTCGATTAATTAGATCCGAATTGGAGAAAATTAAGTTAATTAAATTATGAGGATTGAGAATTGTGATTATTACGAATCAAATTTATTTATGAGGTGTCCAATTTGGAAATGCAATTTATTGACGGAAATTTGAAGTCTGATTAGAAATTGAAGGCCTAAATAGTTTGAGAAATCAAAATTGATAATGGAAATAAGTCTAATTTAATATTTGGGGCTTTTTGGAAGTTGATCAAAAATCTGATTCAGAATGATAAAAATTAAATATAATTAATTGGACCTTAATTAAAGTCAATTAGACAAATTAAATTACGTGAGACTTGTGATTAGTTTTGATCAATTGAGATTAATTAAGAATCAAGAGGGTGCTTAATTAAGCTAATGAATGACCAGTGGCTAATTTAACTATACTAAACTGATTAACATTGTGGGGGTATATTATATATATATATATATAATAGATTATTAAACCTTCAAGTTTTATATGTGTACATAAGGAGAGAGAGTAGGCAAATCTACTTATTAATTGTTGAGTGCATTCTGTGCTTCATATTTGTCTTGGCAAAACCGTAGGTAAGAGAGAGAGAGAACCGTGAGTGAGGGAGAGTTCAATTCCTTAGATCTTTGCTGGAAATTTTGAAGGAAAACCAAGAGAAAAGTGAAGAAAAGGAAGAGGAAACTCAAGTTTAGCTTGGATTTGTCAAGATTATGCAAGATTAAGTGTCTATGAAAACTCTAGGTAAGGATTTGTCTCTCAAACCTTGAAGATCCTATGGTATAGAGTTGGATTTATGGGCCATTACATGTATTTTGCTTGAGCATGTTAAGAAGAAGGTGATTCCTTACAAACTTCATGAATTTTGAAGGAATTAAAAATAAAGCTTTGTAGATCAATTATAAATTGTTAAGATTTGGGTTTGCATGTAAAATCAAGTTAGGACCAAGAGTATGAATTATGATTTCTTAAACTTGTTAAACTTTGGTTCAATTTCATATAAATAGAAGAAGTTAGCAAGATGATGAATTCATGTAGTTATGTTCAATTTATGAAAATCAATTTAGAAATTAATTATTTTACATTTAATTTTTGTAATCTTGCATGAATTGGGCCTTATTTCTACATGCATGTAATTTGGAAGAATTAAAGAATAAATATTGGTTTTGATTTTAATTATTAACCAATGCATGTAATGTAATCTAAGAATTTGACTCAAATTAAGCATATTTTGGAACATGTATGATTATGAATTAAATTGAGGTTAAAATAAATTGAGTTGAGCTTGAGATTAAGGAAATGGGTTTGGGAAAATTTATCAAGTAAGTTTAATTTGTGTTATCCCTCATGAATTTGGACTTCATCTTTACATGCATCAATGAATCTTTAAGAAAGTTGGAGAATTAATTTCATGTTTTGGTATAAGGAGAGCAAGTCGTGGGAAATTACGAATTCATGAACATTTTGAACTTAATATTGAATTAAAAGAATTTTGGATGTAATTGATTTGAATGTTGACCCTAATTTCACACATGCAAATATTTTCTAAGAGTTTTATAACTTTAATTTCATGTTTTGGATAATCCTCCATGCATCATGAATTAAGAAAGTTATGAAATTAGTCTCATGGATTTTGTAAGAAATAAGGTTTTAAGTAAGGAATTAAATAGACTCATAGTTGTGGAAATTAATTTGGAATTAATCCTAAAGTTTCGATTTTATAATTAGATTTTTATTCAATCCATGCATGTGATGTAATTTAAGAATTCGACTCAATTTAGATACGTTTTAGAAAGCCCATGATTATAAATTAAGTTTTTGGTTAGAAATTGAGTTAAGTTGAATTTCTAAGAAATGGATTTGTGTAATTCATAGTTAAGTTGATTTTGTTATTAATAATAAAATTGAATCTATTTGTATTACATACATGATGGAATTTCAAGAGGTTGGGAAGTCTAATTTATATTTTAGAATTGTGGGTTGATGTAAAGAAGATGAATTAAAATTAAATTTGGATAATTAGAGCATGATTTTGAATGAATGATTTCTAATTGAAAGTGTTTACTAAATTATCCAATGGTTCTCCATTTTTGTGTACCAAAGGTACATGTGTTTGAGGCTTTGAATACCAAATTTGAACTTCAATTGTAATTTTGGAATTTCAAACATTACGTTGTCCGCTCGAGCGAGACTCGAGTGAGGAAAGTCTCGCTCGAGCGTGAAAATCGAGCTCACAGTAGTTTTTCAAATTTTACAGTCCGCTCGAGCGACCAAAGTGGCGCTTGTGCGGAGACCCATTTTCAGTTTTTTTTGAAAAATTGTATTTAGTTCACATTTTTATTCCTATCTCTTTCCAAGGCATTCTAGACATGATTTATGACTCAATAAAGATTAATAAGCTACCAATCAACATAGATTAGTTAGTTGAAGAATGAATCATTGATCTAGTAGTAATTGTTTAAGAAGCCAAGTAAAAGATCAATCTATTTGGAAAAGAAGGGCTTAGTAATGAATGAATCTATGAAATAAGAACCCGGTTTATTTGAATGAGAAAGAATAAGCATAGTAGAACTTCGGCCTGTTTAGACGGAAAAATACTAGGAAAGTCAAGTTTGATCAAGGAAGTAATATTGTATTTCAATGTGTATATGTTATGTGTTTGTGTAGGTCACGCGCCATTGTCTACCTGATTTATCTGATATGTCCAATCCATCTGATATGCTTCCGCGGCTATCTGTGAGTAATAACTTAGTAAAGTCATGTTCAACTGCATTTATTTTCTGTGTGATAAAATGAGATCTGTTTTCTAAAGTGCTATGTTCTGTACAACAAATGACTATCCAATTTCTGATATGTACTCATGACATCCTTAGCATCATGTGATATCTGTTGGCTGTTACCCGGTATCGGAGGTTCCTTTATGGAACTTAATCTGTTAGCACTCTGTTACCCGTACCGGAGACCCCGTCATGGGGGCTCAACTTCTGTTCTGTTACCCGGATCCGAAGGTTCCTTTATGGAACTGGTTATTCGTAACCTCACGTGTATACGTTCTGTTCTGTTCTGTTAATGCTAATAGATGTATCACGTATGCTTAAGCATGACTTATGATTTCCGTATATGATCTGGACAAATAATGAATTTGATACGAGACTGAATTATGATTTCTGAATCTGTACGGACTCATTCATTAAAACCCTTTACTCTGTTATTATTCACTGGGCTCTAGCTCACTGCATTATTTATGTATGTAGGTGATAAGGCGGGTGACCAGGCTTAGAGGCATCTACCTAGAATCTATTTTTGTCAGCCAGCCTATGTGCCTCCCGTAGAGGTTCCGAATATGTCAAGTGATTATCGCTATGTGATTTAAAGTTTAAATTTTGTTTTCGTGTTTGGTTGAACAAGTCTTGTGTGTTTTGTAAACCCCTTTTTCTCTAAATCTGTATATATATGATGACTTAAAGATAATGTGTATATATGTATATAAAAAGTTTAAAATTTTTCTGTCTCATATAAGTCTGCACAGCTCAATGGACATTATATATTGTTATTGCTTCCGCTAGCCCCCAATATTTTGTTAATCTGTCTTAAAGGCCTTCGGTAATCCCAGGATTACTGGCCGGTTACAATGCTAAACCTGTAAGGGCAGGTTTGGGTCGTGACAGCCTTAGTAACTGGAGTAGAGTGTTGGAACGATGTACTGAGACAAACCTAATCTTGAGTTGGGAAAAGAGCCATTTTATGGTTCGTTAGGGTATAGTGTTGGGACACATTGTGTCCCCTCGAGGTATAGAGGTAGACAAGGCTAAGGTTGACCTCTTTGCAAGCCTTCGTCCACCCAATTTTGTGCGTCAAATTAAGTCTTTTCTAGGGCATGCAGGTTTTTACCGTAGGTTCATCAAAGACTTCAGTAAAATATCACGTCCTTTGTGTAGTTTACTTGTTAAGAACGCGCCTTTTATCTTTGATAAGGCATGCTTGAAGGCGTTTGAAACACCAAGAATGGCCTTGACCACCACCCCAATCATGAAATCACCAGTTTGGTCGCTTCCCTTTGAAATCATGTGTGATGCCTCCGATTATACTGTTGGGGCTGTGTTGGGCTAAAGTGTCAACAAGGCACCATTTGCTATATACTATGCTTGTCGCACTCTCTCGGATACACAATTGAGCTATCCTACCACCGAGAAAGAGTTGCTAGCTGTGGTCTTTGCCTTAGATAAATTCCGGTCCTATCTCCTAGGTTCCAAGGTCATAGTCTTCATTGATCATGCCGTTTTGTGATATTTATTATCAAAGAAAAAGACCAAACCTAGGTTAATTAGATGGATTTTGTTGCTTCAAGAATTTGACCTAGAGATCCGTGATAAGAAAGGATTTGAGAATGTGATGGCGGATCATCTCTCCTGAATCCTCGTTGAGTATACTACTGACCCTCTTATTTTGCATGATTCGTTTTCGGACGAACAACTCCTTGAGCTATCACGAACGAGGCCCCCGAGGTTTGCACATATTGTGAATTACTTGGCCATTGGGAAAATTTCACAAAATTGGTCTAAGCAAGGCAAAGACCGATTCTTTTCGCAGGTCAGGTATTACTTTTAGGAGGATCTAGAGTTGTTTAAATATTGCTCCAACCAAGTGATCCGATGGTGTGTACCAGAGAGTAAGGCGCATAGCATTCTTACACTTTGTCATTCTTCTACATGTGGCGGTCATTTTAGTGGGCATAAAACGGCCGCCAAGATTTTACAGAGCGGGTTTTATTGGCCCACAATTTTTAAAGATGCCCATCAATTTTGTAGAACTTGTTTGCGCTGTCAACAAATGGGTTCGATATCTCGGCATGACATGATGCCAATGTCCCCTATTCTTGTGGTAAAGATATTTGATGTTTAGGGGATTGATTTTATGGGACCTTTCTCGTCATCATACAGGTTTGAGTATATTCTCTTGGCAGTAAATTATGTATCTAAGTGGGTGGAGGCAATAGCTACCCAAACAAACGATCATAGAGCGGTAATCAAATTTTTGCATGAAAACATCTGTAGTCGTTTTGGGTTTCCTAGAGCTATAATAAGTGATCAGGGTATGCATTTTTGTAACCGGTTCTTTTAGTCGGTAGTCAAGAAATATTCTATCACTCATAAAGTTGGCACTCCATACCACTCTCAAACTGGTGGCCAAGTAGAAGTCTCAAATAGGAAGGTAAAGCACATAATAGAGAAAACGGTGAGGCCAGATAGGAAAGATTGGTCACAACGGTTGATTGATGCATTGTGGGCCTACCGCACTGCTTATAAGACACCCATTGGGATGTCACCATATAGGGCGGTGTTTGGCAAAGCTTGTCATCTCCTGATTGAACTTGAGCACCGAGCATTGTGGGCCATAGAGAAGTTTAACTTTGATATGGCCGCGGCTGGGCTTAACTGGAAATTGTAACTCAATGAGTTGAAGGAAATCTGGAATGATGCATATGAGAGTTCGAGAATTTTTAAAGCTCGGACTAAAAAATTCCATGACAAACACATTGATAGAAAATCCTTTGAACCCGGCCAAAAAGTGTGGCTTTTTAACTCAAAATTGAGACTCTTTTCGGGTAAGCGTAGATTAAGATAGGATGGTCCCTTTGTGGTTGTTGAGGCATTTATTCATGGCGCCGTTGAGGTGCAAGATCCAAAGACTGGCCACACTTTCAAAGTGAATGGCCAAAGACTGAAGTCATATATAGAGGGGATTGGGAATAGGGATATGATTGAGTCCATTGCTTTGATGGACCCTTTTTACTATGATTGATAGATTGGTTTCTTGTTCTATTTTCCTTCCATTCTATTCTATTCTGTTTTTCTTTGTTCTTGTTGTGCTTTATTTGCATCTAGGAGACTTTAAATCCTCTAAAGGTGTAATTCCTTTGGTGTTAGCCTTGCCCGAACGGCATCTAACGGTCTGGTATAGCCACCTAACTGTGTTTGTAGTGAGTTCTTAGAAGACCAACTGAGACGGTGGAAACTAGAGTTTGAATGACAAAGCCTAGAACACAAAGGTTTGGAATTTTCGAAACTAAAGTCTAGTTTAAATACGCAGGGGTGTGGAGATTGCTTCAAAACCACCACGGCTTGAACTCTGTATGAAAGCCTCATAGGTCGAGTTAGCTTTATGCGTCTCGATTTTGGATACTGAATCAACCTAGTCTATCACCCTGTTGGAGAATAGGGAAAGTTACACACACTGTTAGGGAGAAAAGTAGTACCCGTGTTTTTCGCATGAAGATTATACCCTTGTTAGGCATTCTGGTATTTTCTAAAGTGCTATATTTATTTCGGATGTCAAATGAAGGTAGAAATGGTTAAATATGCTTTGGGTTGTACTTGGTTTTTATTTTCTTTTATTTAATCTTTTAAAAATATATTTATATATAGTTATACTAAAAAATGTTGTATTTGGTCCCAAAAAAAAAAAAATCTCGCACGTGCGGCAAAATTTCTTTCCACCAATTTGCCTACTGCTTTAAAAGCAGGTGCGCCGGGGCGTGCAGGGTGTGCGTCCACATGTGCGGCATACACACTCGCACGTGTGGCGATTCTTTAAAAAAAAAAATAGTATACTACTGACCCTCTTATTTTGCATGATTCGTTTTCGGACGAACAACTCCTTGAGCTATCACGAACGAGGCCCCCGAGGTTTGCACATATTGTGAATTACTTGGCCATTGGGAAAATTTCACAAAATTGGTCTAAGCAAGGCAAAGACCGATTCTTTCCGCAGGTCAAGTATTACTTTTGAAAGGATTCGGAGTTGTTTAAATATTGCTCTGACCAAGTGATCTGACGGTGTGTGCCGGAAAGTGAGGTGCATAGCATTCTTACATTTTGTCATTCTTCTGCATGTGGTGGTCATTTTAGTGGGCATAAAACGATCGCCAAGATTTTACAAAGCGGGTTTTATTGGCCCACAATTTTTAAAGATGCCTATCAATTTTATAGAACTTGTTTACGCTGTCAGCAATTAGGTTTGATATCTCGGCATGACATGATGCCAATGTCCCCTATTCTTGTGGTAGAGATATTTGATATTTGGGGGATTGATTTTATGGGATCTTTCTCGTCGTCATTCGGGTTTGAGTATATTCTCTTGGCAGTCGATTATGTGTCTAAGTGGGTGGAGGCGATAGCTACCCGAACAAACGATCATAGAGTTGTAATCAAATTCATGCATGAAAACATCTTTAGTCGTTTTGGGTTTCCTAGAGCCATAATAAGTGATCAGGGTACACATTTTTGTAGCCGGTTCTTTGAGTCGGTAGTCAAAAAATACTCTATCACTCATTAAGTTGGCACTCCATACCACTCTCAAACTAGTGGCCAAGTGGAAGGCTCAAATAGGGATGCAAAGCACATAATAGAGAAAACGGTGAGGCCAGATAGGAAAGATTGGTCACAACAGTTGATTGATGCATTATGGGCCTACCGCACTGCTTATGAGACACCTATTGGGATGTCACCATACAGGGTAGTGTTTGGCAAAGCTTGCCATCTCCCGGTTAAACTTGAGCACCGAGCATTGTGGGCCATAAAGAAGTTTAACTTCGATATG